AATATATATATATATATATATATATATATTTCAACCTTAGAAGATCTAATTATTCAAGTCGTTTAGAATTAAGAAGCTCATTAATTAATTATGTCGTCGAGGGTCAAAATCGGGTGTCAACAACTATCCCTCGTTTTACTCGAAATGATTTAAGAAATTCGAGGAAAATGAAATTGACAACTCCAATTTTGACCGACCACACATTCGTCTTTAGGAAAGGAATTGGTAAGGACTTTAGGAATTACGGCCGAACCCTGAAAATGAGTTCCCAATATATCTCACACTATATGAGAATTCAAGTCACTTGTATTTCGACTCGAATGGTTGAAAAGGAAATCCATTATGTTAGATAACCTTTGGTTCTGCACAAGTGACAAATCAAAAGAGTATGAAAAGGAGGCTTGTAAATTCTTAGCCATGAATGTTGTGCACTTCACACCCATAATTAAGAACTTACATGAACATAATATCCAGAAACCCTTGGCGCATTTTCACTTAGATTGGAAAGTTGCTACCGGTAGACCAAAAATCCGGATGCGAAATCGGAACTGACAAAACCCAAAGGAAAAACCAACATGCATTCTGATTGGGGTGTGGTTTGGAAGTCGTTGCTCTTTTCGCGTCCTAAGAGTTTGACATTTCTCTTTGGACTGTGTCCTAGTTAGCTGCTAAGAAAAAGTTCCACCTTGTGCTGCGTCCCTTTTGACGTCGTCCGCACCTCTGGTTTTTTAAAGAATTCATCCTTTCCGATGCTCTCAACAAAGACTGAGATAAAAACTCATTAGCTTAAAAATGCAATTGATATGGAAGACAGTGTATTTTACCATGTCGACACTTAATTGTTCTCCTCGACCTTCGACGTCAACTCGATTGGTTTGACGTAAAGCAAATAAATGTTGTGTCTTGCATTTGCAATATAACCTTCAATGTACTATTCATTTGAAAAATAAATAAAATCTTATGCAATGTTGATATTTTCTTTGTTTTTGATGATCTTCTTGATGTTTACTTTTATCAAAATAAAAAAATGCATTTGATCCCGATGGGTAAATATTTCTCTTGGAAGGCACGATTTCCTTTTCTGGCAGTGCATGACTTTTTGCGAGGCAGGAATATTTTCTCGCGATGCGTAAATTTCTGCGAGGTATGAAATCTTCTCACGATGCATAACTTTCTATGAGGTATAAAATCTTCTCGTGATGCATAAATTTCTGCAAGATATGAAATCTTCTCTCGATGCATAAATTTCAACGAGGCATAGAATCTTCTCGTGATGTATAAATTTCTGCGAGGTATAAAATCTTCTCGCGATGCATAAATTTCTGCGAGGTATGAAATCTTCCCGTGATGCATAACTTTTTGCGAGGCATGAAAACTTCCCGCGATGCATAACTCTAGGCGAGGAATAAATATCTTCTCGTGATGCATGATTATAGACTCGCGATGCATGATCTTCCACGATATATGAATATTCACTCGCGATTCATGATTTTCTGGGATGTATGAATATTGACTCGCAATGCATGATCTTCTGCGATGTATGAATATTGACTCGTGATGCTTGATCTTCTGCGATGCATGAATACTGACTCGCGATGCATGATTATTGACTCGCCATGCATGATCTTCTGCGATGTATGAATATTGACTCGCAATGCATAAATATTAACTCTTGATGTTATCATTGGTACCAAATGAAGATTGTGCTTCAATAGAGAAACATTGTGATCTTCTGGGTGCTTTCTGGATAATCATATCGTCTCCAATGATGATGTAGGTAAAATGACTCCCAGATAATATATCGTGTTGATCGACAATAAAATAATTGATCCCTCCGGGTAATGCATACTATCATATCCGACATTATGATGCAAATGACGTCTTTTACAAAAACAGTAAACTCTTCCTTGAGATTTTTGCTTGATTCACCTTCGATTCTAGATAGACGTTCTATAAAAATTTCATGTTGTCGAAAATTGATTGAATTAAACAATTCATATTCCCAAGTTTCTGACATAAGCGATATAAAATGATTCTTGCTTCTTGGAAAACTACTGATTTTGGGATAGTTTTTCCCTCATTTGACTTCTCCATATTCATCCATCGGAAGAATTTGCGCTTTCGCAACAAAGCTATAAACCTACGTCCATAGAAAATGGTTTAGTTTTAAAACAAACTAATCTGTGTCGATTTCTTCAGTTGTCTGCTCCTTGTCCTACTATCTCCGGTTGATTTCCCGATCTCCCAACTCTTGATAGATGAGACAAAATATTTTATGCCAAAACAAATGAAATGTAAAAGGAAAAATTTAAGAGAAATAGTATCTGAAAAAGGTCACTGTCAAGTCATGTCATATGAGGCTTAACTAACTTCTTTAAGTCTGATGCTCTGATGTTTATCTGATTATTTGCTGAGGAGTTTTTAGAGTCACTCTGAACTTGTAGATAAACCCATGTTGAGATTTTGAGGCCATCCTCAAAATTTCTGTCTCAGTTAACTGTCTTGCTTATCCTTCTACTGTAATTGAGTAGATCGTGAAATTTTTGAGATCTTGTCAAAATTTCCATCCTAGTTGCAAATCTCGAAATATCTTCAGTCTTGACTTGCTAAGGAAGAATCTTCTTCTCGAGAATTTTTGAGTCCCTCCCAAAAATTCTGTCCCAGTTTTCATTGTAAAGAGGAATAGAAATCTTACAGGAGATATGACTGAACCCTTGTTGCACCTACGTATCCCGTTAAGGCAGGAATCACGTCAAACGTAGTTCCCCTCAAAGGCTAATAAAAGTAAAAATTTCAAAGAAACTAACCGAGGCCGGCATAGGCCTCCTACATATCTCATTCTTGAGAATTTAGATTGAACATAGTTCAAATACACAAAAATATTTAAAGGGGATAAATGGGGTGATCGAGGCCTACATAGGACGCCTACGTATCTCATTCTTGAGAATTCAGGTCCGACATAGTTCATTACAAGAGGGGTACAATTTTAAGCAAAACAAATACAAGCAAAAAGAATGATTACAAGTAAATAACAGAATTGCAAACCGAAGCTTCACACGTAGTATTTCTTGACAGCATCCGAGTTGATAGGTTTAGGCCATACGATGCCATCCATCTCTAACAAGACCAAAACACCTCCAGATAATACTTTATGAACCATGTAAGGACTTTGCCAGTTTAGTGCGAACTTTCCTTTGTACTCGTCCTGATGAGGAAAAATACGCTTAAGAACCAACTGACCTACTTTGAAAATTCTGGCTCTTACTCTCTTGTGAAAGGAACGAACCATTCTTTGCCTATATAATTGACCATGACAGACGGCAACCATTCTCTTCTCATCAATAAGAGTTAGTTGATCAATCTGCTTGCTAACCCATTCAGTGTTACTTAACTCAGCTTCTGAAATGATTCTCAAAGACGGTATCTCGACTTCAGCAGGTATGACTGCTTCTATTCCATATACTAGCAAATATGGAGTGGCTCCAATTGATGTTCTGACAATCGTATGGTATCCCAATAAAGCATATGGTAACATATCATGCCAACCTCGATGCTTGTAAATCATTTTCCTTAGATCTTTTTGATATTCTTATTGGCGGCCTCTACAGCTCCGTTCATTTGGGGACGATAAGCAATTGAATTCCGATGAGTGACCTTAAATTATTCACAAATATCTCTCATCAGGTGACTGTTGAGATATGCACCATTTATCAGTAATGATGATTCTGGCACTCCAAATCTACATATCAGATTGTTGTGAACAAAATCAGCCACCACTTTCTTGGTTACCGAGTTGTAAGAAGCTGTTTCCACCCACTTGGTGCAATAATCAATGGCAACCAAAATAAATCTGTGTCCATTAGAAGTAATTGTTCTATCAGACAGATGACATCCATTCCGCAAGCTACGAATGGCCAACGTGAACTCATAGCATTAACTTCATGAGGTGGAACTCGTATCAGATCACCGTGCACTTGACACCTGTGGCATTACGTAGCACACCAAATAATTCCAAATGACTTAAGTCTAATTCTCAAACCAAACAGTGACCCACCATACAATTCTTACAGATTCAACAATCGACCCAATTCTTCCCTACAATACACACGCGTGATTACACCTTCACGCCTCTTTTTCTTCCTTCAACCAGTACACCCAACCCACAATGCGACCAGACAAAAACCCAGCAACCAAATCGACAGGTCGTGCGGCCTCTTCCCTTCTATCTTATCTCCCCGTACCAGTCCGTTTCGAGAATCGGCCAAATCTCAAAATCTCACACCTCCTTCATCCTTTGCGCTAAATCGGACGTCCCATTCGAGTTTCGTTAAGAATCTGTTTGAATCATACTGAAATGGTACGATTCTATCTAATTCGAACCTTATCTACAAAGAAATTTTTGACTTTGCATTAGTCCCAAATCATTTTCCCCCTCTATTTCGACCTAAAAATTGTCCTATATAACCCCTTTCTTCTCACTTTTCAAGAGGGGATATTCAGCAGACTAAAGAGTATCCTAAAAATTTTGGGAATTCTTGGCTCCATAGTATTAAATTTTGTGCCCTTCTGTGGTTGTTTGAGTTTAGAGTGGTGGTTGAATCATATTCGTCAAACTCGTTGTCCGGTTTGCTGCCACAGAAAAGGTAAAGTTTACCGTCTTATTTAAATTCAAACTTGCAGAGGCAGTTTAAATATACTAACTATTAGGTTTGACGGCTGAGAGGGAAAATAAATTTTCAACCAAAGATACACTAGACATAAAACCATACCCACAAACATATTCCTTCCTCGTCTAGCCAAACACTATTCGAACTGATCAGACCAACCTTAAAACAAGCTAAACCAAGAAAGAAGAGATATGGGCAAGGAAGGAAAAGTCACGGATATTTTCAGCTCATCTTTTAGATAAAAAAAAACAGACCATATAAAAAGTGCAAAGTGGTTACCACAATGACTGAATTTTTCAGATTTTTCGACCGTCACATAATTTCAAAAGGCCTAACCTTCTAGCACATTTTGATGCTTTATAAATCGCAATGGAGACATGAATATTCTTTTACCACGGAAGGAAACTAAAAATTACCATAACCACACAGCGAGATATGAAGGAAACACGAGTGGAAGTATTGATAAATCTAATGACATTCGTCATGACCTATGAATGACAAGAAACAAAGAAACAAGAATGAACATTAAATATTCTATTAGAATCTAGCTTAAGAATGCAAGGCAAAAGCGGAAAATATTTGAGCAAAAAACCAAATTACAACAAGCGAACTATGAGGTAAACAAAAATAATAGAGAGTTTACCTTTTCCGGGGCAGTGTGACTTGGACAAAACGAGCTTGAGAGCAACGACTTCCACCATTGCGTCGACACACAAAATCAAACTACGACAAAAGAATCTAA